GTCAGTTTCCGTTTTTTCTCTCAATTATTTTTAAGTCAGAATTGTAGAACTAGTCAAGAGCTTTCAGAATATGTGATTTATTTTAGTTTCAGACTAAATTGTTATGAACGAAAATTGTCATCAATACTCGGTAAGATACGTCACATTTTTTTGTAGAGCAACATTAAAATCATTGCTGTTCCGTATGAATGAACCTTTAAAAAATTCCTTTTAGTGGATAAGATAGAGAATTGGAAACATAACAATCTGGCAAAAAAAGAAATTAGCTTCATCTACTGTGTAAGCCGAAAAGGCCCAATCAAACTCAAAAAAATCGATTTTCGCACTGAATGCAGAGCGACATTATAAATTTGGTGCTTGCGATAACTCAATAAAACCTTATCTGTTTTAAACAAAAATTGGTGTATTTTTCAGTCTTATGGAATAGAGTAATATCCCAAAAAATCAAGCAAAGATCTTTTTTCGTTCGTCAGAAAACTTAGTTTTACTTTGAAAATGTAGAGCGACATTTTACGGATTATTTCTTCCTCAAAACTGAACGACACATAAACATATCATACAGAAATCGGTTCTTTCTGAGAAGTTCTCTCGTTCTACCAAGTTTGTGTACTTTGATAGCCACCTTTTAGGGGTGTCAAGGGCTAAAAACACCTAATTCTTGTGGTAGCTTTGTGAAGGAGGCTTCTGATCCCAAAGTACACTTGTCAACGGTTATCAAATATCGCGTTAAAGCGTCCCGTCAAATTGTATCTGAATACATGAATAACTTATAGATCTGAGCTTCGGCTACATTAATAGGTCTGATTTAATAAGTCTGTTGTTTTAGATTTAGTGACCTGTAATGGTGACGAGATGTAAAACTGGTTTGACTCGTGACCAAAAATACAAAACTAAAATCAAATTAAATTAAGTTTGAAAACATTTGATAAAGAATTTAGATCTCATCTCATTGTGATTTGTCGAATGATATACGATAGTAAGCATGTTTGCAAACAAATATTATTTTTTGTTTTGCTAAAAAACTGTTATCACCCATTGGAACTAGTTCACACCCATGAATCTCTCCCAGAACACCAGGAAGTGTCGGGAAAACAGTATTTCCATCGACAGTCGACATAGCTCTATCAAATGTAGCACTAAGTTTTTTTCCATGAGCAACTTTATTTATTTCGATTTTTTTTCTCAAACGGTACAATGATTGTGCTCTTCGCTCATATATTAAATTGGTGGGTTTTATTTTATTGTTTGCTTTTTATTTATAATGTAAGCTTTAAAGTGTGATTTTGAAGAAATCAAGTTTAATGTTATATATTTTTCTAATGTTTAGCATGTATCTTTTTCGTTGTAAGGTAGTTTAGAGTAGGATATTACTGTAAATTTTCAAAATTTAAGATTGATCTATAAATGTAAGCTAATAAGCTGTAGTATTCATATCCCTTATATTTAATTTATATTGTATGATTATTTTACTATACTATACAAAGAAATATAAATTATTTTATTTTATTTTGGTTAATAGCGTGCCAGCATCCGTGGTTATACGAATAATATTATTAGTTTACATTTTTATATTTTGTATTGAATTTTAGGTGAAATTTAGTTTTTTTAATTATTAATTTTTAGATGAACAGGATTAGAGACCCTGTTAATTAAACAAGTAACGTTCATCTTCGATTCACTGACCCTTGATTGAAAGTCTGCCTGCGACAAGAACTCTGACCGACGGATCTTTGTTCAGATGTTATGGTCATATTTCTGTTTTTCTCAGCGAAAACAGACAAAAATGGAGAAACGACGATGTCCCTCGTCTACCGCGGACGGTCGGTCGGACATTTCGTTTGTACGACCCAAGACTTTCAGTCAAGGGAATAAATGAAACTTGAACCTTCACAGTGCAAAATGCCAATTATTCATTAATAATTGGCAAATAATTACTTAACCAGTAATTAATTAAATTTTGCAACCAAAAGCCCATGTTCAGTTGCCTGGATTCTTTGGCTTTTAAATGGTCAGTCAACCAATAGCCGGACTTCTCGGCTTTCTAGACACAAAAGTGGAAAAATTCTTTTTTTGTCGCTAGTGCTCGGGAGGACGCGTACGACGATGTCGCTCGTCTACTGCGGACGGTCGGTCGGACATTTCGTTTGTATGACCCAAGACTTTCAGTCAAGGGAATAAGTAGGAGTAATTAAAAATTTTTATAATTGGCGGTTTAAATTAAATAAAGAAACTTGTATCTTAATTAGATTTCCCACTAATATTATAACTGAAAATGTTTAATTTTGTATGTTTGATGAGTAAGAGTTAAATTACAATGATTCAGATACACAAAAATTATTTTTAGGGTGCATAAGTTGCAATTTATATATTACTGACTTTAAAGAAAGATGAATTTATTAGTAAAATATAGTTATTTGAATTATTTTTTAAAAGTACATATCGCCCGTCAGCTTTATTATAAAGTAAGTCGTAACATAGTGTATAAACTAGAAAGTTTATATGAATATTAACTTGATTAGGGGGTTGTTTAGTTGAATGACTGTATGATATGTTGGGTAAGATTATAAGTATTCTATATTTTGTTCTTATTTATTAGTTAAATTATGTTATTTTGAAGATAACTATTTTTATTAACTTGTGTTATTATTAGTCATTTTTTGGTTTTCTTTTGTTTTATGAGTTTATTTTTGGGCGGAACCTATAAAATTATTGATTTCAATTTTTTTATTGGAGATTTTTAGTATATCTTTTATTTTGTTAGTGTCTATGATATTAGTAGTATCTGAGTTGGAATATTTTATATTTTTGTTTGAGGTTAGTTTTTTTGGTTTGTGAGTCTGTCGTTGGTTTTTTATTATTTGTAGTTTATATTACCTTTAATTTTGTTTAGTTAAAAAAAGTTCTTTTATACTATTATGATTTTTATTTTATTAATAAGTTTGTTTTATTTTAATTACTCTTTTTTGTTATCTTTATTAGTAATTTATGTGTCTTTAAATTATTTGTATTTTTATGAAGAGGTGGTTTAAAGTCAGTTGTTTAATTCAGGTTTGTTTAAATTAGAGATGGGTTCTTGGTTTTTAGTATTTCTTGTTTTTTTGTTATTACTTTTTATATTATACATACATTTAATCATGATTAGAGCGATCACACTACATTTAATCGCGATTAACACTAATCGTGATTACGCTATTCATCTTTTAATCATGCATAAAGTTGGTCATGATTAGCGGAAAACAGTGTCTGTTATATACGGCACTTATTTCTTGCAACAGTCTTGAGACCATACTTATATTCGCAAATTATTATTTATTTATATTTTTATAAAAATTGCGAATATTTTGAACCCAAACATTTTCTATACATGATGTATATATATGAGTGAATTGCAACGGCATTGTACCGTTAGAAAAAAAAATTTAAAAAATCAAAGCTAAATAGAAAAATTACCTATGTTTCCATTTATTTTCGGAATTATCACATCTAAAGAAATATCGATCCTGCGACTCTCAGGCATTCCGACACCATGCCTAAACCACGAAAAACTAAGAGTTGGCCTAGTTTCTGTTCTGGAGAAGACATTTTGCACTATCTATGTATGAAGAAAGATTGACCTGTTTTTATGTCAGCTCTCGGAGATCCAAACTGGTTTTTCAAAGATCTGCTCAAAAACCGGTTTCAGAATATTTTTAAAAATGATTTTTGCATGTAAAAATCTAGTCTCACATGTCTACTTTCGATTACTGAAAACTGCAAGTCTCTAGCTTTCTTCTGTCAAAAGTCATTCAGGAAATAGCAACCGGCATTGTACTTTGGCGCCGATAGTAATTACGTTTTCATTGGTTATCCAATTAGCTGACTGATTAACTGTAGTTTGTTCTTGGTTAAGAGTAAACCATTCCGTCAGATATTCACGTTAGTAAAAGTGTTTCAGAAAGGTAACTCCAACCCGAAACTAAAATAAATGAAGGATAGTCATGCCCTACTTTGCTGTAAAAGCCATTGTGATATGCACAGAGCGGCGAGCCATCACGCGTATATAGTTAGATGCAGCCTAGAAAGACGAGTCGATTGGTATATAATAAATCTAAATTCGATCAAGTTTCCATAGAGATACGTTGAGTTTAATGTCAGTGCACACTATTTTTCCGAAAAGTGTCAGTGCACATTTCGTCGTAGTTTTTGGATTTTTCAGGAACGGTAAGAGATTCTGAGTTTATTTTTTTATGCGAAATGTAACTTCTGGATGTTGAAAAAGGGTAAAATTTTCTGAGCAAACGGATTTCTTTTGCGAGGGAAACAAAAGTGAAAATGTCAGTGTACAAATTATGTGAAAGTCGACTTTTTCTCCAAAAGATTGTTTCGCCCTACGCTAACTGATAAAAATAGAGAAAATTTCTATTTACTAAATTGTCATGCTTAGAATCGTCAATGTTTTGACACTAGGCCGACCTTTCTAGCATAAATAGTTACTGAGATAAATCAACGTTTATGTCAGTGCACAGAAAAACCGAAAAGTGTTTGTTATCACAGTATTTTTAGTATTTCGTCGACATAATTTCATTTAATTTCAATTACAAGTACATATTTGAATAGCCCAAGAATTCTGTTACGAATTCAGTTAAACCTTCTCCCGCTTTTATTCAATTTGGTTGGGAAAAAATGAGCCTTTTCTGACGAATCAGCTGAAAAAACATTAGTTTTAGACCTTGTTTGATGAATATCACGGCTTCCTTAAGTAACAAAGAGTTCTTTCGTTCAGAACTGACTATACAAATATAGAGGAGTAAAAGTATTAAAAGCATTTGCAAATTCATTCAGTAGAACGGCCTTTATACTCAGAATCGCAGAACAGTAACGGTACAATGCCGTTGCAAGTCACTCATATATTCATTCTCATTCAAACAGAACAGAGTGTCCAGAATTATACAAATACTTATTTTGTAATGTGTTTCTTCCATTTTATATGCTCGATGATAATATTCAAGAGCACGTCCGTATTATAATTGATCACCATATATGCCACCAATACGCCAAAAACTCAAAGAAATACAAGGATGTGGATCAGCTAGAAGTCGCTGAAACATTTCATTCGCTTTTGTACTAAAAACCAATGCTGGATCAAATTCTTTTATTAATTGATAAACATGGCCAATAGCTTCTAGTAAATGAGCTTTAGTCGTATGATCCCCTGAATAGTTTTTCTCACTAATATTATAAGCTTTTTGATAATACGTCATTGTTTGATTATAATCACCTTTCTGATGATAAATACTACCATTATTGAATAACGATGTAGCTATTAGTAGATGATCACCATTTAATTGTACAAGACGTAAATTATAACCACGTTCATAATAATCATGAGCCATTTTTTTCGTGGTCAATTAATATCGGCAAAAGAATTTGATAGATTAAAACAAAATGTTGGTAGTCTTATATCATCAAATGGATTCGTTTCAACATCAAGTAGTATGACTGTGGCATTGTGCTTTGTTGCGGGCGCAATCGAAACAGTCGAAATGAAACCAATTCTTTTTGAAATTACGGCGGATTCATCGTTAAAAACAGTAATATTTGCTGATATTGATAAATATAGTCGAATGAAAGGTGAACAAGAAGTATTGTTTAGTTTAGGAGCAGTATTTAAAATAGATTCATTTGAATTTGATTCATTAGTCCAATTATGTAAAAGTCGAATGACAGCAACAGATGAAGGTTCGCACGATGTAGAAGGATATTTGAAAGTGCAACAACGAGAAATGGACGAAATAAGTTCAACAATTTTATTTGGTCGTATTCTTATGAATGACATGGATCAAACTAAAAAAGCTGAAAAATATTTCTTTAAATTACTACAAACATTACCCAATGAAAAGTACTCAAACTCTCAATGTTTTGGAAGTCCCGCAGTATTGAAAATGTGAAATTCTGAAATGCAGAGATTGTGAAATTGTTAACGCTTTGGAATTCGCATTATACTGCCAGGATGAAATTCCGAAATTCTAAGATTCTGGAAATCCAAATGTTCAGGGACTCGCACTACAGTCACAGTGTGAAATTCTGAAAAACCTGAAAAGGATTCATCCCCTTGACTCTTGAAGACCCGGTTTTCGGGAAAACCAGTTTTTGAGAAACTCTAAAAAGCAACCAAAATCTTTTCTTACTGAGGCGTAATTATAGCCCGCAAATTTCTGATTAAAATGAGACATCTCTGAGCTCTACATGACTTTTCTTTGCAAAGTTATAGAATTTACAAGAAAAGCCCGAAATGTTCATTGTCAGCTGAAAGCTGCAGAAATCAGAAGAAATTAATTTAGGGCTTTTCTTATAAATACTATAACTTTGCAAAGAAAAGTCATGTAGAGCTCAGAGATGTCTCATTTTAATCAGAAATTTGCGGGCTACAATTATGCTTCATTAAGAAAAGGTTTTGGTTGCTTTTTAGAGTTTCTCAAAAACTGGTTTTCCCGAAAACCGGATCTTCAAGAGTCAACGGGATGAATCCTTTTCAGGTTTTTCATACCTCATCGAGGTCTACTTATGGCCAAAAGATGAAGTCAAAACGGCTTGAACACTTGGATACCTTCCCTCGTAAGTGAAGGTAAAAGCACACATGTCAGTTTGACGAGTTTGAAAATAATATCATCTGTCAACCTTATCTTATTATTGACAAAGAAAGAATACACATTTTGGTTGTGATCGATTTGGTAACTATCCTTGGACCTTTAGTTAAGTGTAGTCTAATGAGAGCTATATATTTTTTATAAATAATTCAACAATAAATAAGTAAGCAAAGTGCAGAGATGGTTAAAATTCATCCACACCTCAATATTTATTCTCTGAAAGTCGAGTTCATGTCTTGGCATTATTTAGAAAAACGTTAGTGCTCTCGCTGTCTAATAATAAGCTTATTCTACCGAGAACGGCTTAAAACTATGCTACAATAATTCCCAAAAGTGCACAAGTAGTTCACAATCTCGGATAACAAAATTTTTATTTGTAATCAGCTAATAAAATCTCTATATGTATGATCTGCATTTAGAAACTTTAATTTTCCAAATGTACAGAAAGCAAGAAAAAGCCAGAGGACGATGCCTTTCGATATCTATACCGCATTGTGAACTATTTCATCCTACCCATTTATATATGTAAAACTTGTTTATATTATCTGCGTTTAACACAAAATTCATTGAATTGTATTTAATGATCAACGAAAAGAATATGTCGGTGAAAACTCTATCAGAAAATAGTAGGAAACAGTATGAAGTATCTTATTCTTGTCATTGACAAAGAAAAAATACACATTTTGATAGTGGTCGATTTGGCAACTATCTTCTAAAAGTCAAAGAATGTCAATATATTCGAATTAACCAGTTCTAACTATGAACGATTGGCTTTGGTACTGTTGAGATATGTTGAGAGAAAAAGTGCCTTCGTTTAAAGTGATTTTACAAAATGCTTTTTCATTAGATGAAATATACTGCAATTCATACAGGTAATATACGCCATCCTACGATTAATCTTTACTCACACAAAAAGTTACTTGCCAGATTGATGAATATGAATATCTGTTATTCACCAACGTGCTCGTTATTGCTATTGAAAGAAGAAATAAACATGCATATTATCGATTAAAACACACATGTCAGGTTGATGAGTTTGAAAATAATATCATCGGCCAACCTTATTCTTGTTATTGACAAAGAAAGAATACACATTTTGGTTGTGATCTATTTGGTAATTAAACATTGGGAAAATTGGATTTTCTACATGCAAATCATGAATACAGAGATTTTATTAGCTGCTTACAAATAAAAATTTTGTTATTGGAGTCAGCCATGGGAAGATTGTATCGATATTTCACGTGTGAGGGCCCGTAAATTTGTGCTTGGAATTTCACAAAGGTCGATAGGTAAAGACAGCAAGTTTCACGACTTTGGTGTCATGCACTTGCAACATCAATACGCGTGTGCACTAGTGGAGATTGTTCACTTGTGTACACATGTTAACCCCTCCACTTGCAACCACGTGCGAAAAATGCGATGGAAAAATGTTTTGTACACAGTTCACGACTGGTCACAAGCGGATAATTTTTTCACATGTGCCAAAACACCATTTAACCGTACTCATTTGCGCTAACATTTCATTTCACGACGCTCACCAGCGGGCACATCGCGCAATGTAGTAAAATTTTCCCATGAGCACTATGAAAATATACCTTTCTCTTAACCTTATTCTTGTTATTGACAAAGAAAAAATACACATTTTGGTTGTGATCGATTTGGTAACTAAACACTGGGAAGATTGAATTTGCTACATGGAAATCATGATTACAGAGATTTTATTAGCTGATTAGAAATAAAATTTTTGTTATTCGAGACACCCATGGGAAATTTTATGTACTTAAAATAAATTAAAATTTTTTTATTTAAGATTGTAAATTTAAAAGGGGTAAAGTAAATTTTTATATTTCGTAAACAACTTGTCTAAAACCAATCCGGCTATGATAATGTCTATTTGGAGGATGGAAATCCCAAGTCTGTCTGTATTGAATGATCAATGTAAAGAATATGCTCGTGGAAACATCAGCAGAAAATGTAATATACCGTGCCAAAAATTGAATAGAAGCCTATCTAAATACGAGGAAAAATTTGATGGATTTTATTGCTGTTTTGGTGAAGGATTATAATGATTTTTCTCATTACAAACCAATGGGTTTCGGCTACGCTAGGTATAACTAATATGA